AATCAGGATTCAAATATCGATATGATTACGGAGAATCCGGGTGGTAACAGCGTCAGTGTGTTACTAGGCAATGGAAACGGGACATTCCAGGCTAAGCAGGACTATGCTGTCGGAACTCAACCGTACTCGGTTTTTTCAATTGATGTTAATCAGGATTCAAAAATCGATATGATTACGGCGAATGCGGGTGGTAACAGCGTCAGTGTGTTACTAGGCAATGGAAACGGGACATTCCAGGCTAAGCAGGACTATGCTGTCGGAACTGGACCGACTTGCGTTTTTTCAATTGATGTTAATCAGGATTCAAAAATCGATATGATTACGGCGAATCCGGGTGGTAACAGCGTCAGTGTGTTACTAGGCAATGGAAACGGGACATTCCAGGTTAAGCAGGACTATGCTGTCGGAACTCAACCAACTTCCGTTTTTTCAATTGATGTTAATCAGGATTCAAAAATCGATATGATTACGGCGAATTATGCGGACAACAGCGTCAGTGTGTTACTAGGCAATGGAAACGGGACATTCCAGGCTAAGCAGGACTATGCTGTTGGAACTGAACCAACTTCCGTTTCTTCAATTGATGTTAATCAAGATTCGAAAATCGATCTGATTACGGCAAATTATGCGGCCAACAGCGTCGAGGCTAAAAACCGAAATATAAAGACGACCGATAATTTCAGTTGAATGTGTAGCATATTGCATTCATATTCAATTAACAAATCTACACAAGTTTGAGAAGACGTTTGTTGATGACCTAGATAAAGAACTCGCACTTGACCTTTTTCTCAGTTTATAGATGAATATCAAATCACATATACTAGTTCCAATACTAGTTCCAGCAGTGCCAATTCGATTTATCGAATGCGGCAGAAGCATTTGAGCAACTTCAGTCTCGATTCTGAAGGAAAAACCATAGTCTTGCGTCCTAGAAAATGATATTTCGAACAACTTTTGTAGCCACAGTTTTGCTCCAAAAATACTTCCTGCCCTTTGGAGAAACTATCCGCAGGCTGCTGAGAAAGAGTTTTCTCTAAGCTAATATGAAAACATTTAGAAAACATCCATTTGCTTTAATGTGAAATGCCAATGATATCTATACAAGATCAACGCTTACTGTACAAAAAACGTTTTCTTTTTTCTAAAAACGTGAACTCCTAGGTTCTAAAATTACGACCCTTAACACCTATTAGAGAACGTGTTCGATATCTTGGGAATAGTAAATGAAAAGTTTCATAATACTTTATTATTTTTTACCCTACATTCGTTGCAGGTAATCTTGATTTTTTAATGGTAAATAATTCGATGAATTATTCTTTACCTCATTTACAAGCATTATCATTTGAAAAGTCATCGTTCGATTGCAGTTTGTGTTTTCTTTTTAATTAGTAATTCTTTGTTATTTGTTTGTGAATATAATAGTTGAAATACGTATGGGAAATAAAACCAGTTTCTCTTGTGCTTCATGTGCTGTTGTGTTTGATTGGTTTTTAATAATGAGACTAACACATGATAGAGGTTGACAGAGCTTGTTTTTTTAATTTTGCTGTAGTTTTCAGTAAGGAGAAATTTTTCTAAAAATAGTTCGGCAGAACTTTGGGATTTCCAGCCTTCAATGACTATCAACCGAAAAGCAGCAATGCAAATACTTAAAAATCGGACTCCGCGCAATCTCCGGCCGGGTATGTAAGCTTTTTTTCTTAACAATTGTCATTGTTTGCTTATGATATTAGTTACTATATCATTAGTACATATATACTGTGTCATCTTAATAGTCATGCGTCAACACATTATTACACCATGCAACTTCAGGATGGAAACTAACACTGTTCAAAATCAAGCATTTTTTCTAGTGTAAAACTAGCTGTCATTTCTCTTATTTTCGACTTCGTGACAAACGCTTTTTGCCCACCAAACTCTTCCTTAGGCGAGTTCGAGACTCGTTTTTATCGAAACAAAAACTATTCGATACAACATCGAATCCTTCGTTACAGAATTCAAAGAAGAACAAGATCTGCCAAATGAATTCCATTGAGAATTGTTCATTTGAGATACTCAAAAGAATCAACCATTCGAAAATCTCAGCTTAGAATAAGGAACTAAGATCCATAGAAAAAGGACTTTCTGTAGAATGAGACGGCTCTTGCAACGCCTCTCCATTTTCCCCTAATCGCTTACAACATGGTTTGAAATTTTAACTATTCGTAATTTCGCGTATAATTGCGAATAATAAG